ATACATGTCAATGGCATGTGCATGGAATAAAGAATCAGTAATTGGAAGGCATTAAATATAGTATAAGAATTGGTTACAATAACCCGAATTATGTTAGAAATATAATGTTACCAAATTGTTTAAAGTACATCGAAGTTAGAGCTAGAGTTTATATTGTCATATGTTAGCAAATTATAAAGTAAAATCGTTTAAGGAAAATCTTTTGCTAGAACACCAAAGGTGGTTTTTTATGCGGATTTTTGAGAAATAGGATCTTGTTACATTACACTTGATCTTTGAAATCTGATTTGTAGTTCAGAAAATCTGCGGCACACATTTCAGACATGCTTAAGCTTAACTTGGGCCAAATTTTGAAATTATATCCATACGCGACTATACAGAAAATGAATATTAGTGAACAAATCAAATGAATGATTAACTAGAATCAACGATAGAGAATGAAAATATATATTTATATATTCCGCGTCGTTTTCAATTTGTGAATTTAAATCGATAAAATTTATTAAACGTAAATATTACAAATTTAGATATGTATTTTGATAACTTAAATTTTGTCAAATAAAATTTCGTAAAAAAAAAAACAAAAAAGGAATAATCAAAAAAAAAAATCTGATTGCGTAAACACCCACACATACTTGCACATAGTGAATTGTTCTCCGACAAGAACAACTTTAATGTTAGTTTTTTTTTTGTACAAAGACAGTAATTAAATCAAATTTCTCGAGTCCTTTCTCTCGGGATGGCTTTTTTTTTTGGTGAAAAAAATGAACATTCGCCCAAAGAGTAACCAAATCGTTGAATACTGTATTATACAATATCAAATTACTGTATTTATTATACAATATTAAATTACTATATTTATTATACAATATTAAATTACTGTATTTATTATAAAAATCAATATTTTACCTGTACATAGTTTAGAAAACCTTCGGAAACTATTGAACGAATTGGCGAAACTTTTTTAAAGCTCATCTGATCATACAACTATACGTTTCAAATTGCATCCTCGACACATAGTATCATATACGAATTATTTCAAAATTTTTTCTTGACATGCACGTCCAGTCGCTTGGTGCGTGGAGCAAATTATTTTATAAAAGTTTTCAACCTGACAGATTTGTGGATTCAAAATGTTATAACTTTGTGGTTCCATGCTTATTATTGATAAAAAAATTGTCAAAGATTTGATTTTATTATTATTACTTTTCTTATTTATGTCACATCACCATTATGATTTATCGTAATATAATTAATTTTAATAACTAATTGCATTAAAAATCCACTAAAGTTATTCTTCAATCGGCGGAGTGTCGATTGAAAATCAACAAATTTTTTGAAAATATACGTATATATAAATAAAATAAAATAAAATACAACTTTCAAACATAGACTTATAATTAATCTTTTCTCAGTAAAAGAATAATTTTTTCTTCTAACTTTTCATTCAATATAACATAAACGGCTACACATGTAAGATAAACTTTTATCCATAGTGAATCAGGAGCAGTAATTGTACAAAATAAAAAATGTGAGCATATTCCAATTACTTTTACTATTAAAATAAATAAATAAGTATAATAAGTATATAAATTACAGAATTAATAAAAAAAATAAATAGGTATAATGCAGTAATGGATTGTCATATCAGATACAGACTAATTTAACATACCCACGATTCTTCTATTTTTAATTCTATCATGAAACGCTACAACATATTTCATGTAACTTCCATAATCTGACGTTTTACACTCCATAAGTTTAGATTCAGGTTCTAATTCCTTGACACGTTCTTCTAAATCTTTAAGTTCTGATATTTCATCAATGTCATAAATTGCAGCACAAATTACTTCAATTATTGTCATTAATATGAAAATAAGTGAAGGAATTAAAATAACATAATAAGCTATATAATTAACATAATGATGATAATATGCAACAATAAAAAAGATCAAGTTTGCAATAAATAAAGTAATATATATAGTGATTTGAATTACAAAAGAATAATACATATGGCTCAATTGGCCTTTTTTCAATTTCTCTAATTTCTCATTCAGTTTTTCCTTTTCGGGATCCTCAACTTGTTGCGCAGCTTTTGAAGAATTATTAAAATAATGTAAATATGATATTGTAATTATTGCACGAAACAAAAAATAAATACTGCTAGGAATAATAAATAATGTCAAAACTGAATACGTGATAATATATTGAATTAAAAAAAAAGTCCTTCGTTATGTTATATGCTTTTATAATAAAAAAATAAGAAACTGCACACACAAAAAGCTGCAATAAAAAATTTAAAATTGTAGCTGCAATTCCTATGGGAATTTTTTCAGCTATCAAAAAAATAATAATAACAAACATTAAATCAAAAATATCTTCAATTTCTTCTTTACTTGGATTTGAAACTTCTGGATCATTAGGTTCATAAATAGTAGAATTCGTATTTTCTGAACCAACTAATATAAAATTAACGAGCAAAATTATCATTAAAATCAGAAGTTTCGCCATTTTTTCTTCCTTTTCGATTACTGACTAAAAGAAGAGATGTGAATTTTTTTACAATTATATGTATTGCGCGCCAGGTA